ATGGCCTGGCTCCGATACCAAGGCCTCCTGGATGCAGGATGGAGCCCAACTTGGGCTCTCTGGCATAGCTCACTTGTAGAAAGAGGTGGCTTCCCCTGTCCTGAATCTCTTGCCAGATGTCACATTGCTGGAGAAGGCCTCCACACTACCTGGCAAGCCGCTTGGATCAACTCAGTGAACAGAAATGGGAGTTCATAGATTTAATGAATGGAATCACCACCATCATATGTGTTAGAGCTCAATGGAATGTGGCAACTTTCCATCCTTTAACCAGAGTGTCCCTGAAAAAGGATGGAACCCAGGCATCAGCACAGTTGGCTAAACTTTGAAAGTCATCTCAGCATTAGATGCTCTCATTGAGAATTGATCCCATCTGTCCACTGTTACGTATTATTGGGCCATTCTAGGGCCATGTCCTATGAGTTCCTTTCTTCGGGGTAAAAAACTCTGGAAATCTCCTTTCTTACTGATACCCAAAATATAAATTAAGGTAATAAATACCTCTAGACATACTAAGGCCATAATACAAGCCCTAACAAGGACATTTCTTATCCCCTTTGGAGTTCTAGACATTAATGAATGTGAGAAAGGTGCATTTCACTTTTCAGAATGTATAACACTGGGCTCTTGAAAAAAGCATTCAGTGGAACTTCCACCTTGCCTGTATATTGGTACCAGTCAGTTTAAGAGGCCTAACAGGCAATTCAAAGAGCTCTTATTAAAGTTACAGTGTGGCAAATAGATGTCCTGGTGGGTGTCACCACTGCTACATGCCTGCATTGATTAATGTAAATTCACAACCTCTGGGGACTCACACTCCCTATACCAGTGCCACAGGAGTCCCTCAGTTGTTTTTATTGGTTGTAATGGGGGCTCCTCTAAATTTCATGTTCTTGATTTCCGTCTCACTATTTGATCCTCTCCCTCCTGGTCGAGTACCTGCTTTGCTTCCTAGGAAAGCCCTCCTACACTCAGAAAATCTCAGACATCATCAAATTTTAAGTGGATAGAAAAGTATCGTATTATAAGGCACAAAAATTTCATATGAAAATTGAGGCTCCTTTGAGGCTCTTGGGGTCCCAAAGACCTAACCAGTAGTTCTGGGCTCTCACCAGATATACTGTGAACCCAGCTCCAAAGGCTTCCCACCTAGATCTTTCTCTGTCAGCCCTACCAATTGCACTTAACTTTTGGATTTCACTGTTTTGTCATCCAGCAAAATTATTCAATCAAACAATCACATCCTCCTGTGGGAAACAGGGAACTTCCTCCTATCCTTTGGTAATTGCAGAGCCTGGTTCCCATAGTCCCTGCTTTTTTACTTTGCTCCTGAGTTCCATCCCGGTGTGGCTCTGTGTGGTGCATAGTTTCCTCCTTCCTGGGCTGGGAGGACATGTGACTAATAAACTGCTGTCAATCTCCCATGTCAAGTGCCGTGAGTCTGGCCATCCCTTAACCCTAGGGTAGGAATCATTCCCTCACCAATGGAGAGAAGAGGAGGTGAATAAGCTATATGGAGTGTTCTAAGAAGAGAGGAAATATTGATAGGAAAGTTTAATCTAGAAGCAATGAGCATATATTCAAGTGTTTTTTAATGGGGTCTGGATGTGCTCAGTTTTACATGCTAAAAAAATGCAGCAGAGTAGAAGATGAATTGCAGGGATAGACTGGAGTTAGAAGGTGAAAAGCTTGTTTCAATAATCCAGATGAGAAATGATGAAGCTTGCTCTAGCCTTTGGAAAAATGAAAGAGACAAGAGATTCAAAATTCCGTAAGTGGTAGGAGTTGGAATTTACTGGGATTTGAGGGAGGTGAGGATGCAACAATAGCTCCCAGGTTTCTAACTTGAGCAGTAGTTATGGATGATTCCACCAATCCTTACAAAGAAGGTAGGAAAAGAAATTGACTTGAAGGAGAAGATTGTAACTGAAATCAAGGGAGAAGAGGCACTTTGGAAGAGAGGGACTGGTACAAACTCTTTCTAATGCTGAAGAGAGGCGAGTAAATCAAACATGGACTAAACAAGCATTGTTTGGATTTGTCAGTCAGTGGATCCTCATTGGATATCTTTGACAGAGCAGTTCCAGATCAGATTTAGGCCAATGGGCCTGAGAAATTTGAAGGGAGGTGAAGAAGTTTAGCCAATGAGTGAAGACCACTACAGGGCACCATGCTGAAAAGAGAAGGGTTGAAATCAAGCATGACATCCTTTTTGTTGTTGTTTGAAAATGAAAGTTTGAACCTATTGAATCTATTCAATTGAATAGGTTCTCATTGAACCTATTAGTGGAATGAACACTATGTTTTAGTTGACAAAGAGATTAGTTGACAAAAATACACAACAAACTGAAGAATGATGGGCTAGGATGCTTGAGGAGAGATCCAAACCCAGATCTAGAAGGCTAGTTATGTTGTGGGTAAGTGGCATGCTGTGTGTTCTGCTTAAACTCTGCGTGAGACTGGAATATGGAGTTATCGGAAAGTTGAAGAGAATTCTCCTTGGAAAAAGAAAAAGAGATGTCCTGCAATTTCAAAGACTTGAGAATGGTAAAGTGCTGAATTTTAACAGTCATTGTGAAACGCGCAGAAGGCTGAGGGGACCAGGAAAAAAGTATCAGCTGTGTTGTTAAACAATGCATTTGATGAGATCCAAACTGGGTCATTCCCCTTAGTGGCCGGGTATCCAAAAGAAAAGAAAACTTGAATTAATCAGGAGTAGCAAATTATAGGCAAGTGTAGAGGAAAGTCAGTAGATTCAAGCAGTTGAACATGTTAATTAAGAGGGGAGTTGAAGTGTTGACTCATAGAGTTCACCCTGATAGGACAAACATTTGGGGGTACTGAGAGGTTAAAGTACAGGGCATAAAGGGAGGGGTCTAAAAGGAAAATTAAATTATGTGACTCTCAAGCCTCAGAACAAAGTCCAGGGTGTGGTCATGGGAGTAGGCTATTGAAGTGAAAAAGAAAAAACAGTCTGAAGTTTCTGTGTGTTTACATATCTTGGGGTGGAAAATTGAAGAGGATGAGTCAAGGTTTCCTTGAACTCTCATCTGATAAATCCAAAGTCACTGAAAGTCAAAACAACCATGGAACATCATATATTCTAAAAAACTTTATAATTTAAGCAAAATAAAATCATTTGTCCACTAGTTGAAACACTTTCAGTTGTAGAATTTGAAGCATTCGATGAAATTATGTAATAGAGAATATGGTAGATAGACCATTGGGTTAGACGAAGTTTTGAATCTTAGTATAATTTACTAGCTGTTTTATCCCTCTAAGCTTTATTTTTCTTATCTACAGAATGACAGAAATCATAGTACACACCTCATGAACTTGCTGTGATCATTGATATGGTATTAGCATATTGCTTAGCACATAGTAGCCTTCTGAATTAATTCTACCTCTTATTATAACACAATCCATTATTTCTGCTGTTTGCAAATATGTTATTCATTTCCTACAATATAGTTCACAATACTGTATTAGTTCTCTATGGCTGCTGTAACAAATTACCACAAATTTAGTGGCTTAATACCACACAAGTTTGTTCTCTTACAGTTCTGAGCTCAGAGGTTCAAAATCAGTCTCTCTGGGCTGAAGTCAAGGTGTTATCAGGGCTGATTTCTGGAGGCTGTAGAAAAAAACAATGTTTCCTTGCCTTTGGTAGTTTCTAGAGCCCACCTGACTCCTTGGCCTGTCGTCCCTTCCACTGTCTTCAAAGCCATCTGTGTAGTGTCCCCACCTTCTGTCACTGACTGTTTCTATCATCACATTGCCCTCTCGAACTCGTCTCCCTCTTATAAGGGCCCTTCTGATGACCTTGGGAAAACCTGGATAATCCCGGGTAAGGGGTAATCTCCTCTTCTAAAGATTCTTATTTAATCTATTTTGCAAAATTACTTTTGCTATGAAAGTTACCGTATTCACAGGTTCCAGGAATTAGGATTTTGGCCTCTTTTGAAGGGCGGTGTGCAGGTTATTATTCAGCCTACCCCAGGCAGGTACTTCAGAGATCACAGTGAAGGAGACGGGAATATCGGCTGATTTAAGATGAATCATGTGTTAAATTCTAGAGTCTTTTATTTTCTTTCTTGATCTCATCACTAACAAACACATGAATTTCTAAACAAATGAATAAACAAGTAATTGCCTGATGGATGTGAGAATTGTCCTCCTTCCCCATATCCCCCTCTTTTAACAACTTGAGTCTCTAATTTTTCACAAGACAAAATATCACTCACTGCTGCCTGTGTTCTGTGTTCCCTGTGAAGCAGTGCCTGGACCTTGGCTCTTTCCTTTCCTTGTAGACAAAGCAGCCTGTAGCTTCTTATCACTGTGATTACCCAAATTCACTGCTGTCTTTCCTCCACACCCTCTTCTGTTTCCAGTATATTTGCACATTTATAGCATTAACGAAATCAAGTATTCTAGGACACTGAAAGGAAAGGAGATGAGTATTGAAACCCACGTTGCAAGTATCAACAGGCAAAAATTAAGAGAACATTTCATCAATTTAAGGCAGAAATAAATGTGACCATTCTGCATTTTCTATTTTTTTTTTAATGTTGATTCTTGGCCCATGAAAGTACCAATTACAGTTTATGCAGAACAGGAATCATCAGCTTCTCATAACAGAAACTCAAAGTTCATGTATTGTTACATACTTTCTTTTTTCTTTTTGCATACAAGTAGAAGCAGCAAGATCTCCCATTTCATTGCGGGGTTTCAGATTCCACAGTGTCTTTTACATTTTATCTATTCCTAAATTCTAACTCTTCTTGATTTTATCTAGTCGAGATGTTACAAATTTTTCTGCCTTAATTTACTCTATATTTATGCCCAAATTCCAAAGCCCATTTTTATTGCCTTTGTCTCTCTAAGGTTTTTTTTTTTTTTTTAGTTTCATTTTATTTTTAATTGATGCATAATAATTGCACATATTTCTGGGGTACAATGTGACGTTTCAACACATGTATACATTGTGTGATGATCAAAGGATAATTAGCCAATCCATTACCTCAAAACTTTACTATTTCTTTGTGATGAGAATATTCAAAATTCTCTCCTCTAGCTATTTTGAAATATGCATTATTGTTAACTGTACGCACCTTACTGCAAAATAGAATACCAGAACTAGTTCTTCCTAGCTATTGTAACTTCATACCCTTTAACTAACGCCTCGCCATGCTCCCCTTCTTAGGATTCTGACTGAAGGGAAGGATGCTAAACTTTCCACGAATGTGCCTCGCCTAATTCGTGCTGAAGGGAAACTGAAACCTAAGTGCTTCTGAGAGGAGAAAGGAAACCGAAACTCCTGCAGGCATAAAAGAGCGGCTGCGGTGGCTCAGAGCGCCCAGTCCTAGGCCAAGTCTGGGGTAACCTGGAGCTTCCACCTGGGCTCTGCGCTAGGTGTCTGTTTCACTCCTTCCCCGCGGGGCGCGCAGCTCACGGGTCTTTGGACACCACCGGTCCCGAGTCCGCGGTGAGGAGCCGGGGATGTCCCTTGGGAAGAGCCTGGGGCGAAGCTGTCTTGTGGGAGTTCTAGGTGTTCTTTAACGGACCAGACAGGGAGGTGGCACAGGTGGCTCCGGGCGCAGGAAGCCCGGGAGTCTCCTGGGCTCGCAGGGCGGTGGCGCATGGGCCCCCTGCTGGCCCTGGGAGGCCGGGCGTGGGGAGGGGCGGAGGAAAGGACAATCTTGATGAACGCTGCAAAGGCCTGAAGTCTGAGAGAGCGAGCAGTGCTTAGGCATTTAAGGAGTCCCCTTCAAAGGTGGGAGCTGGGTAATGGAGGTTGAGGAGAAATTAAGGGACATCATATCCTAGCACAGCCAGTAAAACCTGTACATCGACAGCAGCAAGCAGCTTCCACCTTCAATCCCTGCTCCAGGCTTGTAGAACCAGAATCTGTATTTATTAATAAGATCCTCCAGGTAAATTCTGTGAACCCTTACTTTTCAGTGGCTTAAGACAATAGAAATTTATTTCTTACTCCAGTAACAGAATAATTTATTCCTGGTCAAAGGGCAGGTATAGTGGCTTAAAACATTACAAGTTTATTATTTTACAATTGCTATGGATCAGAAGCCCAGGCATGGGTAAACTGAGTTCTCTGTTCAGCATCTCATCGAGCTGAAATCAAGGTGTTTGTCAGAGCGGTGGTCTCATGGGACGCCATGGGTGCTCATTCGGGTTGTTGGAAGAATTCAGTTTCTTGCAGCTAAAGGACTGAGGTTATCTGCTTTCTTGCTGGCTGTTGGCTGGGGATTCCCATGTCTTTAGATTTCACCCTGAGATCTTAGCTACAGTGGCCTTCTCACAACAAGGTAGCTTACACCTTTAAGAAGGTATAAGCCTTCTTTGGGGGAATCTCCCTAGTCTACTATGATGAAGTCTTACATAATGTAACCGAATCATTAAAGAGACTATGCCATTAAATTCACAGGTCCTGCCCACACTGAAAGGGAGAGGGTTATACTGGGTACTGGAAGCCATTTTTAACCCACCAGCTCTTCCCCAGGCAGGATTTCAGGAGCTTGATGCCTTTCATCAAGTAACTCCACCATTCTGTTCCAATACAGAATACGTGATTTCCTTTCCCTTCCCTTGCCCCCATTTTTTTCCTCTTTACCTCCCCTTTCCACCTTTCCTCTTCCCTCCTTTTTTCTCTTTTCCATTTTTCTTCCTCCTTTTCTTCTTCCTTCTTAAGATTGTTTGAATCAGAATATGGTTAAGACACTACTGTGATTGGATGATAAGCCTTATAAGGTTCTTGCAGTTTCTTCATCCCCTTTTAATTTATTCATTTGTAAGATGTGTGGTCTTATGATTGCTTGTTTGTTTTTGTATGTGTGTGTCCTGTTGGGTGTGTGTGTGTGTCCTAATCCCTGTGGTGTCATTTAACATATTTTGTTGGCCTCTAAACTTCTTGTAAATTAATCATTACTACTAGCGTTTTGATCAGATTCAGGTTTTTTTTTTTTTTTTTTTTTTTTTTTTTCCTGTTTTTTTTTTTTGAGATGGAGTCTTGCTCTGTTGCCCAGGCTGGAATGCAGTGGCTTGATCTCAGTTCACTGCAGCCTCTGCCTCCCAGGTTCAAACGATTCTTCTGCCTCAGCCTCCCAAGTAGCTGGGATTACAGATGCCTGTCACCACGCCCAGCTAATTTCTGTATTTTTAGTAGAGATGGGGTTTCACCATGTTGGCCAGTCTGGTCTTGAACTCTTGACCTCAGGTGATCTGCCCTCCTTGGCCTCCCAAGTTTTGTTTTGTTTTGGCTGGGGGAACTACAGTACTTCAGTGACGGTGCAGACACTTGCCTCTATTTTTGTTGTGCTATCATTTAAAAATACTAAGATCTGTTAATTCATTAGGAGTTGTAAAATGGTGATATTCTGTCATTCCTTCTGTGTTTATTAGCTGCATTATTTCTAGAAATGAATTGCTCTTATATCTACTCTTTGGTACTGCAATGGTGCAGTACTTAGAAGAAAAGCAGGATAATTTCTTGATTCCATAAACCATTGTTTTTTTCATATATTGTCTTCAGATGCTATTGCTGGACTTCCTGCTGTGAAAGATGAAGAATTTAACATTTATATTTATTTTTCTTTCATTCATCCCTTTGTGAACTGCCAAATTGGTTAATTATATTATTATTTTCCTACTGTCAAGGCTTATCATATTTTACAGCAGTTTGTAGATTTGATTCTTGTGATTTGTTTTTATGTTGAGTCAACAGTAAAAAAGAAATAAACAGCAGTGACAAAATTATGAGTATGTACACATTACTCAGTGTAGAAGCAATCTGGGAATTGCTATGCTAAGACATGGAGTTCCATATTATTAAAATTACTGTTTGAAATAGACTTTTGTAAATCTGAAGTACCATGGGTTCTCTTGTTTTTTTTTATAGCTTCCCCTAACTTTTCTAAATCATGCAAAGTTTCTTTGTTTTTTGATTGTCTTCATTCTTGATGGGTTTTCCCCAATTTTCTGTATTATCTCTTTAAATAAAATTATCATTTAAGATATATAGTTGGCATTGTGGAAGACAGTGTGGTGATTCCTAAAGGATCTAGAACCAGAAATACCATTTGACCCAGCAATCCCATTACTGGGTATATACCCAAAGGATTATAAATCATTCTGCTATGAAGACACATGCACTCATATGTTGATTGCAGCACTATTTACAATAGCAAAGACTTGGAACCAACCCAAATGCCCGTTAATGATAGGTTGGATAAAGAAAATGTGGCATATATACCCCATGGAACACTCTGCAATCATAAAAAAGAATGAGTTCATGTCCTTTGCAGGGACATGAATAAAGCTGGAAGCCATAATTCTCAGTAAACTGATACAGGAACAGAAAACCAAACACCACATGTTATCAGTCATAAGTGGGAGTGGAACAATGAGAACATATGGACACAGGGAGGGGAACATCACACACTGGGGCCTGTAGGAGGGTTGGGGGCAAAGGGAGGGAGAGAATTAGGACAAATGCCTAATGCATGCCAGGCTTAAAACGTAGATGACGGGTTGATAGGTGCAGGTAACCACCATGGCACATGTATATCTGTGTAACAAACCTGCATGTTCTGCATATGTATTTCAGAACTTAACATTTAAAAAGGATATATAGTTGGTGAAATTTATGACTTCTTAAAAGTCTAATTACATCTTTTTGCCTTCTCCATGAATCGAATCACTATTTAGATGCAGAATTCTAGTTTCAAATTATTTTCCCTTTAGAAATTTGAAAATGCTTTATTTTATCAAAACATCCAGGAATGTTGCTTATTTTAATTAGTTCTGTGTACCACGTATTATTTTAATCAATTCATATCCATCGGTTCATACATTTCATTAGCTTGAAAACACAATCAGAGGTGAGTAATATTATTGTTCCAATCTTATAGATAAGTAAATTGAGACTCAGAGATGCTAAATACCTGTCTAAGCATATAGAACTGTAGTATATTTCAGAACCAAGATTAAAATGCAAGTAGTCAGCCAACAGTGTTTGTGCCTTAAACCAGTTCTCATATGGCCTGATTTCCATTTCTTTGTACCTTTTCTGTCTTTCTCTTTATTCTTGGAGCTCTGCAATTTTAACAACCTGTGCCTAGATGTAGTTTTCTCTTTTGTCATTATTTCTACTCAGTAGTTGGAGAAACATTTCAATCTAAACACATTATGTTGTTCTTTAGTTCTGGCCTAATATTATTCTATTAGTTTAAGTACATATCTTTGATTATTTTTATCCCCACTCATTTTGGAATCTTAGTTATCTCTTACTAGAATTACTAGTAGGGGGAGGAAGAGCTTACTGACTTACTTCTGTATATTTTAGTATTTTTAGAATTTTTTCATCTCTTTGTCTTTTACTTTTATCCTTTACAAAATTTCCTGGACTTTAACCCTCCAGATCACTGACTTAAAATTCCAGCATGCTCATTTTATTGTTCTGCACGTGACTTTCTTATTTGTAAAATTATGTTTTAAATGTGTATGAACACTTGCATGCTTTCTCTTTCTCTCTCTAGCAGCCTGTTATTATTTTATGAGAAATATTTTTAATTCTTTGAAAGCAGTAATTAGAAAACTTTGAAGGTCTTTTCTGTCTCTGCATCATGCTTATTCATCTGGTTTCTTATTTTTACTTTTTTTGTGCCTCAAATGTCTATTGGTACTAATGTGTGTGTGTGTGTGTGTGAGTATTCAATAATCAGTTACTACAGGTGGTATGTCTCTCCCTTAAATAACAGAGAAGTGGGGATAATGACTGTGAATTCTGTTTAAGTGTTAGGGCGTGCATGTGTTGGGGCAGGGTTATTAGGGAGCTAGAGGGTATATAAGAGGAACGCCTAGGGTGTGTAAGCCTACTTTAGTATAGGGCATATAAGAGGAAAGCCTATTAGGCTTTACACACCCTGTCTTACATACCCTGTCCTATGTCATGTAGAGCAGCCTGTAGGATCTCAGACTTCCCATAGGCAGGCTATAGAATCCCTTGATAGTCAAATTAAGGAGGGATTGCCCATTAAGGCAGTTTTATTTTGTCACCATAGTTGTTGTTGAAAAGTTTTACAGGGTTTAACAGGCACGCACATCTCAGTCATAGTTATATTTCGTTATAAAAACTGTATTATTCCTTTTAATCTATGTATATTATTTCTTAAAACAATTTGTAAGTTGTCAGGACATAAATAGTCATTAATTTGTTTATGTTGAACTACTTAATAAATGAAATGGTTAGATATTGATTTTGTCCTAGGAGTGGCATAAAAAAACTCCTGAGACTCTAGGAGCATCATGACCATCTGGCAACCTATAAATTAACTTATTTCATCTTGGAAAATCTGACGCTATACTTTCTGAAGTTTTCTGTAATATACTTGGGGTTAATTCTCTCTTGCCTGTTCAATTCTCACTGACCCATTTTCTTCCATTTGAGCTTGGTATAATTTGGAGAGTTGAAGAAAGATAGTATGGCCAATGCACAATTAGTGAGGTTGAGGATTGCATGAAATGGGTGACAGAGTTTTTATGAAGATACCTAATCTCCTTACCTGGGCACAAGACCAGGGTCTGGTTCTTACCTTCCTCTCCAATATCATCTCTAATGAGTCATCCTGCCCTATGCCATGTAGAACAACCCATAGGATCTCAAACTTGTCATGTAGTTTCACAACTTTATACATTAAACTGGTGCTGATTTTGCTACCTGAAAAGTAAATCTCTGTATCTCTCACTTTCCCCAACATTCTTTCATAAGTCTTCATCATCTTTTCAACCTGCTCTCGAAACCTCAGAACACAGGACCCTGATCCCTTCATTCTGATTTAGGAACTCTCAATTCTCTAATGGCTTCCTGTGCCATTTCTGCTAGAACACAGCAAATTAGATGTAAGTGTGACTTAGTTGTCTTTAAACCTAGCCCAGGTTGTACAAGGAGAGAATCATGCTTCATGCATATTTGCATATGTTTCAGCAAGTATAATGTTTGGTAAAGTGTAGATACTCTATAATCTTTGAAATAAGACAGCAACTGGGTGAGTGAGAGACCATACTTATGCTCGTGTCGCCATTAAGTGTCCCTAAACATCCCAGCCCACAGTAATTCCATTTTTCTTTAAACTTATTTGTCATTACTTCTAAACTTATAAGTCATATACTTCTTTGCATTGTTATTGTAATATTTAATATCAGCATGTGCATCACCATTATATGTTCCTTAATACCATGGAATAGGAATCTCTCTCTCTCTCTCTCTATCATCTATATCTATCTATCTATCTATCTATCTATCTATCTATCTATCTATCTATCATCTATCTCTATATATCTATGTATCTATCATCTATCTATATCTATCTATCATCTATCTCTATGTATCTATGTATCTATCATATATCTCTATCTATGTGTCTATGTATCTATCATCTATCTCTGTGTATCTGTGTATCTATCATCTATCTATATCTATCATCTATCTCTATGTATCTATGTATCTATCATCTATCTCTATGTATCTATCATCTATCTATATCTATCTATATCAAACTATCTATCTATCTACTATCTATCCATAAATCGTGTATGTATCTACCTATCTATCTGTTTCACAGCCCTAACATATTGAATGGCAAATGTCTCAGTATTTAGTTTCCATGACAGAATGCTCAAGTGCATTTTCATCTACCTCTTTAGTATTTTCTTGTCTATTATCTTTGCAGATTCTTCCTCCTCTCTTGATATATTAAGTATTAGTATCTTCGAATGTGGATTTTTAGTACTCTTCTCCCATGATGCTGTCTCTCCCTGGCCAAGCAAGCTCATCTACACCAATGGCCTCATTTACCATTAATACTCAGATTACTTACCTCTGCAAATCTAGTCCAGACTTTGTATTTGTCCTCTAGACTTGTGTATTTTACTACTTACATACCATGGCTTATGGGAAATCTTGAAAGCAAGTCAAATTCAGGTGGTTCACAAATGTAGCCATAATCTTTTCCTGACATGTAGCCTTGTTCTAAAATTCCCAGCCTAGGGAATGGCCTAGTCATCCATCCTGTTACTTGAGCTAGAATCTTGTGTCATCCTTGACAGCCCCCTTTCCTCTCTTCTCCATCCACATCCAATCCAATTCCAAATTATGTCAAACTCATCTCCTAAGTGTCCTTCAAGTAGATCCACATCTCTCCAGCTTCATTATCTCAGCTACCATCAAACTATATTACATCAAATTATCGTCATTAGTCTCCTGTACAGTAACTTTCTCTCTGCTCTACTAAGAAACTTACTCCCATCCTATTATTTTCTATATTGTAGCTGGACTAATCTTTTCAAAATGCAAAGCCAATCACAATACCACCTGCTTAAAATCCATCAATGGCTAATTTTTGATTCTAGGATGAAAAGAAATTCTATAACATGACTTCAAAGGCTCTGCATGCCCTCCTCTTTCTCTAGTCCTCTCTAGTCTTTTCCTGGATGGTCTCCACTCCAGCCTTACTGACTTCTTTCTGGAATCAGTGTCACCCACAACCCTTCATGCCCCTGAGCTTTTACACGTGGTATTCTGATATTTCCTCTGCCAGAAATGCTACTTTTTCTCTGTTCTTGCCTAATTAATTATTGTTTATTTCTTAGAACTCAGCTCAAGCATTATTTCTTTAGGGAAACTTCCCCTGACCTCTTGACTTTGTCCTTTTTGCAATGTTCCATTGTTTCTATGATTATCTGATTAATAATTATCTTTAAGCTCTGTGAGAGCTGTCAGCAATGTTGATTTGTTCATTCTTGTATTCCTTGTGTCTAATAATTTGCTTTACATCTAGTAGTTATTCAATACATATTTGTTGAATAAAGACTCATTATCTTTTCTTTTTTGCAGGACTGCCATTTTCATTAAGAACTACCACTTAGAGGTACCAAAGTAAAGGATATTTGCTAACTTTAATACTTGCCAGTTCAGGTTGGAGGCACAGGCAGCAGCAAGAATGGGTAATTTTCCACTTAAAATATTTATAGATTATAAAACAATGTTACTCTGTAAACTACATAGATCTAATGGAATTAAAATAACCACATTACTGTTTTACTTTCTTGAACGATAACTAAATGATAGCGCCTGTAAAAAGGACCAATTGAAAAATAACCCATTCTCTTTCTCTTTTTTTTTTTTAAATTTAGAAAGAAACGTTCTTACAACATTTTCACAGCAAATGTCCAAGTTAATTTTGAATGAAATGCCAAAAGCTGAGTGAGTATTACTACAGTAATAAAGATGGGAAATCATATATCATGTTCCCTGTATGTCTATTTGGCCTTATACTGATGTACAGACAGTTGACCGTTGAACAATGTAGGGGTTAAGGGCACTGAACAACTAACTATAGCAGTTGAGAATCCATGTTTAACTTTTAAAAAATTATTGTTAATTAATTTATTTTATATATATTTTTTCTAAATTCATGCCAGACAGATAATGAGATAACTTTGTAACAAGGGTTGAGTAGGGCACATCCAACACATACACATGAAAACCCAATCATCACATTTATGAACTGCAAAAGGATTGTGTTTGACTTTTTACTCCTCCAAAACTTAACTGTAATAGCTTTCTCTCTGCTCTACCAAGAAGTTTGCCCCCACCCTATCTATTGTCTATCTTGTAGCTGGACTAGTCTTTTCAAAATGCAAAGCCCATCAAAATGCCACCTGCTTAAAATTCATCAATGGCTAATATTTGATTCTAGGATGAAGAGAAAATTCTAAAACATGCCTTCAAAGGCTCTGCCTGCTCTCTTATTTCTCTGGTCTTAGTATAGAAAGTTAAGAAAATCATAAGGAAGCAAAAATGTATTTATTAAGTGGGAGTGGATCGTAACAATAGTGACATCTTCAACGGTGCCATCCCCCCAGACATTCACAACATTCTGTCTGTCAGACTTCTCTTTCATAGCATTGACAATTCTTTCCATAGATTACTGTGTGTAATGAGCCTTGAAGGTTCTTATGACACTCTGATCTGAAGGCTGAATTAAAGACATTTTGTTTGGGGGTGAGTAGACCACTTCAGCATCTTTGGTGTTGAACTCATGGAGTTCTAGGTGGCCAAGGACATTGTCCAATATCAAAAGAACTTTGAATAGCAGTCCCTTGCTGGCAAGGTACTTCCTGATTTCAGGGACAAAGTATCAATTTAACTAATTTGGAAAACGTGTCCCGTTGTCCAGAACGTTTTGTTGTACAACTGAAAGACTGGCAGCTGGTGTTTATCTTTTCCCTTCAAGTCTCAGGAGTTGGCAACTTTACAGATAAAGACAGGCCTGAAGATAAAACCAACTGCCTTTGCACAATACAGTAGAGTTAGCTTATTCCTTCCTGCCCTCAATCCTGGTGCTCGCTTTTCTTTTGTACTAATAAATATTCTTTGTGACTTTGGGGTTTTTTTTCCCAGAATAATTTCATTTGCATTAAAAAAACCTATTCAAGCAAATATCCTTTCTCCTCAGTGATTTCCTTCTGTCTCTTAGTTGGCTAAAGCTGCTTCTCTTGTTATCTTGACATTTTTCAAGCCAAACTTCTTTCTAAAATTATCAAACCATACTGTGCTGGTATTAGATTTTCCAGCTTTAGATATTTCGTCTTCCTTTTGCTTTGTCATATAGTTACTTTGCTTTTTCTTGAATCATATTAGAGTCTATAAATATGCCTTTTTAGACAATCCCACACCCACATAAAAGCTCTATTTTCGACGTGAGATAAAAAGGTCTTTCACAAAAAAATGCAAGATTTTTATGACTGCTGCAACAATGCCTTCACTAATTTCTTAAAAAAATTTTTTTACAATGGTCCTTACATTAGGTTTATTTATCTGGAAGTGGTGGTCAACTATAACTGCAAGCATCAATCTATGACACATATCAGGCAATTCAGCTTTTTCTTGTAATGTCATAACTTGCTCTGCTTTTTGGGAACACTTCTGGCATCACTAGTGGCACTTCATATGGGTTCCATGGTTTTATTTAGGGTTTATGATATTGCAATAAACATGATGAAAAATACACAAGAACTTTGAGAGATCACTTTTTACTATGTTTGGAGAGAAGTTTACTGAAGAAAAACTGCTGACTCACCACAATACAACAAGAAGTGGCTACAAAGTTATTACAGTAGTACAGTATATACTAGAGTTAATTCTATGCAGTTATGATTTAATAGTGCAACTTAACATTTATTTACATTTCTCTCAGCTCTGACAGGTGCCATGTATAGTCTATAAGTGTGTGCATAAATTTAGATAATTTTTAACTTTTACAATAGATCTGTGTATATTTTATGTCAGTAAATGCTAAAATAGACTACATATACTTTATGCATTCGTGACATAGCTAACTTAAATTTTTTTTTGTATTTGTAGGCTACATGGTTTGTCTGAGAGTTTTTTCAAATAGTAACAAATTTTCACAAATTTTTCTAATATATTTATTGAATATGTAGTATACATGTATCAGTGTATATATATATATCAGTATTTATATCAGTGTGTATCTATGTATTATATATCTATATATAATATATATCTATATATAGTATAGAGTATTATATATAACAGTATATAGAACTATGTACACTACTATATATATGTATATATGATTGTTCAACACAGCACTTTCAGAGCTGTATGATAGTGAATGGAAACAGTTTCCTCTTGCTTCATTTGTCAATAGCCATCAGTGAATCCACTTGTAAGGGGCTGAGTTGGATTAAGCAGAAAATATATATAATTTAGGTTTATATGCAGGGTACAAGTACTAGATTCATGGTCCAATCAGGCTGTGCCATATGGCTTTGGATAATTTGCTGTCTCTGACCCTAAGATGTGGATAATCCTGCCTTCTTCCTGTGAAGGATAGTTGTGAATGTAGATGTATTTGAAAAGCCTTAGTGTAGACACTGCCATGAGACAACTCAGCAAATTTAGCTGTTGATGATAATGATAATGAGCTAATAAGAACGCTGCCTTTTTGGAACATGATTTAATGTGTCTGTGATTTTTGTTTTAACTGTTTTTCATTTTAGATATTCCAGTTTATTCAATGATTTTGTTGAATCTGAATTTTTTTTGATTGATGGGGATTCATTACTTATCACATGTATCTGTGAGATATCATTTAAGCCTGGGCAGAACCTCCATTTCTTCTATCTGGTTGAACGCTATCTTGTGGATCTTATTAGCAAAGGAGGACAATTCACCATAGTTTTCTTTGAGGTAACATGACAGTTGAGTTCTTTTTTATAATATGAGAATTAAAACTAAAATTTCCTAAATTATTTTATATATTTTTTCTTATTGCAAAGTAAATTATATCTGTAGAAGTTCAGAAAATTGAAAGAAAAGAAGAGAAAACATGACCCACAATCTCAGTATTCAGAAATCACCACATTTGAGATTACATTTTATTTGAATGAAGAGAACTTTATTGTAAGGACACACGGGATCATGAGAGAGGATGAGAAAGCTCCTCAACAGCGGCCCAGTTGAACACTGGATTCTAGTTCTTCTGCTCTGAGAACAACTTCTGTTTTCAAAACTCAGCAGGCAATTTACAGGAGCCCAGAGGAAAATATATCTGAGTCTAGGGACAGTCATTAATAATGCTTTGTTGGCCAGGCACAGTGGTGCATGCCTGTAATCCCAGCACTTTGGGAGGCTGAGGTGGGAGGATTACTTGAGCCCAGAAGTTCGACACTACAGTGAGCCATGATGACACCACTGCACTCCAGCCTGGGTGACAGAGTGAGACCCAGTCTCTAACAATAATAATCAATGTTTTATTATGGTTTGCTTTAGGTATTTCCAAAATAAGACTATTTTTGGTTTGCTCTTTTATTATGAATATAATTAATATAGTTTTTAACAATTTCAAATAAAGATATGTATAACCACTACCACCCTTCCTAATCCTATATCTAAAGGTAAAGAGCTTTGGTATGGGTCTTTTCAGTCATTTTGCAGTCTCAATTGTTACATTTATGAACATGGCTGAATGCTCGCCAGCCATGTTTTGAATAAAGAGCTAGTTTTCCAATCTAATGTTTACAATCTAGTTGGCTGCCCTAATTTTGTTATGCCAAGACAATCTCTATTGCTTAAGGAGGGTTGCAGTAACCTGGAACAATCCTCTAGAACACAGTGGTTCACCTCAGCTTCCTGATACAGATGATTTATATCTACCACTTGCTTTCTTTTCTTTTTCTCTCTAAATGGAATTAGAGAGGAAAAGAATTAGAAAGCGGGAAGGGTAAGCGTGATAAGCTCCGAGTATTAAGTGCCTGCTTAAAGGAGACACATGCATTTAAATCCAAGCTGCGATTTTTTTCGGTAAATATCTGTAAGATGGTAGTCAGAGTTTAAGGGTCTATTCCCCGACCATCAGACAGAACAAAACTGTTGGATTTTATTCCTTCCATGCCTTTAATGATGTATTAGCCAACTAAATGATTAAATGATAATTTTGAAATAAAATGTACTTCACCTCCTCCTCCACAGGATGCCGAGTATGCCTATTTCAACTTCCCTGAACTTCTTTCTTTGAGAACTGCTTTAATTCTTCATCTTCAGAAGAATACCACCATTGATGTTCGAACAACATTTTCGAGATGCTTATCAGAAGAGTGGGGAAGTTTCTTGGAGAAGAGTTACCCATATTTCCTGATAGTTGCAGATGAAGGCCTGAACGATCTACAAACACACCTTTTCAACTTTTTAATCATTCATTCTTGGGCAAGGAAGGTCAATGTTGTACTTTCCTCAGGGCAAGAATCTGATGTTCTTCGCCTTTATGCGTACCTTCTTCCAAGCATGTACAGACACCAGATTTTTTTCCAGAAGGTAATTCATATCCAAAAGACAATTTCTTCTAGAAATTTTCAAAATGTTCTAAGTTACTTGACTCAGTTTTTTCTCCTCCTCCTCTAGAAAATTATCAGAGGTTTAACAGATAGGTATAACAATTAATAATATTAAGTAAATAATAATAATACAAATACAGTCATTTATCAAATACTTATTGTTATAAAATTGTGCTTGGTATTTCTCATGAATAATTTTTATTTAACCTTAAAACCAATCTTATAAGGTAGGTGTGAGTATTGTCTGTGTTTTACAGATGATGAAATAGATACTAGAATAAGTAATCTGCTCGCCAAACACACCAAATGAATAGTAGAACATGGATTTGAAAAGACACAATCTGACTCAAGCCCCTGTGTCCTTAACCACCGCATAATATATTGGCCTCAAGGTAATGAAGGCCAGAAATGCATGGAATTAGGCCAAAATTATGCCCCTGTTGCTGAGACATATTGACAAATGCTATTAATATGGTAGCCTTTAATAAGAAAACAATGGAGATGGTCAATAAAGAAGGAAAATAACTGAAATAAGCTTATTTCTTATTATTAAGTAATCAATAGGAGAATTTTCAAAGTTCTTAGAGTTCGAATTCCATGATGTTATTATTTTGATACATTAGTATATTTGACAATTACTATATTGAAATTTTGGAAGTAAATATGCATACAGATGTATTTATAAATTACTATATTTATATATAAAATAATAAAAGCTATAATAATATATAATAGAAATAATTATAATAAATTTATTTACATAATAAATTATAAAAATAATACAGTAACAGTACATTAATAAAATTAGTACATTAAATAATACAGTTATTTATAAATTACTAAATTTATTTATAAAGTTATAAATACATCTAGTTTCTGCTTATTTTTCACTACTGATGAATTGTGAATACGAAGGCCATTTTTTAATTCATCAAAATCATTTTTCAGACAATTAACATTTGTCACTGTTTGAGAATTGTGTCATACTCCTCATGTATTTGGAAACATTCACATGGTTGCCATAAAATAAGATAGTTTGTATTGCTTTAGTTAGTACAGTCATGCATCACATGGATACATTCCAAGAAATGCATCATTAGATGATTTCACTGTTGTGTAAACATCATTAGTGTACAGACACAAACCTCGATGGTATAGCCTGTGACACCTTAGGTTATCTGATACAGCCTACTCTTCCTAGGCTAAACTTGTAGAGCTTGTTACTGTATTGAATACTCTAGGTAATTGTAACACAATGATAATTGTTTGTGTATCTAAGCGTGTCTAAACATAGAAAAGGTACATTCAAAAATGGTATAAAAGATGAAACATGATACACTTGTATAGGGTACTTACTATGAGTGGAGCTTGCAGGACCAGAAGTTGCCCTGGGTGAGTCAGTGAGTGAGTGGTGAGTGAATGTGTAGGCTTAGGACATTACTGTACACCACTGTGGATTTTATTAATATATACAGTATTCACTTTGGCTACATTAAATTTATTTTAAAAATACTTTTTAATTTAATACATTAACATTAGCTTACTGTAATTTTTTATTTTGTGAATTTTAATTTTTAAAAATTTTTTGACAGCTGTACAAACACATTATACAACTGTACAAAAATATTTTCCTTCTTTATTTTTCTTGAGACAGAGTCTACTCTGTCACACAGGCTGGAGTGCAGTGATGTGATCACAGCTCACTGCAGCTTCCACGTCTCAGGCTCAAGTGATCCTGCTGCCTCAGCCTGTAGAGTAGCTAGGATTACAGGTGCACACCACCATGCCTAGCTAATTTTTGTATTTTTTGTAGAGACAAGGTTTTGCCATGTTGCCCAGGCTGGTCTGAAGCTCTGGGGCTCAACCAATTCGTCTACATCAGCCTCCCAAAATGCTGAGATTACAAATGTGAACCACTGTGCCTGGACTTTCTTTCTTTATATCATTATTCTATCAGCTTTTTTTCTATTAAAATATATACTTTTTACTTTTTAAGCTTTTTTCTTAGAAGAAAAAAAGATGCAAACACACACATTAGCCTAGGCTTACACAGGGTCAGGATCATCAACAGCAACTGTCTTCTACCTCCAGATCTTGTCCCACTGGAAAGTCTTCAGGGGCATAGCACACATGGAGCTGTCATCTTCTATGATAACATGCCTTCTTCTGGAATACCTCCTTAAGGGCCTCCTGAGGCTGTTTGGCAGCTGTTTTTGAAATATAAGTGAAAAGAGTATACTCTAAAATAATAATAAAAAAATTAGTATAGTACAGTAAATGATAAATCAGTAGCAGTCATTTTTGTTATTATCAAGTATTATATACTGTATATAATTGTATATGCTGTACTTTTTTTGTTATTTTTTTTTGGAGACAGAGCCTTGCTCTATCACAGAGGCTGGAGTGCTGTGGCACGATCTTGGCTCACCACAACCTCTACCTCCTGAGTTCAAGCAATTCTCCTGCCTCAGCCTCCCAAGTAGCTGAGACTACAGGCACGCACCACCATGCTGGGCCAATTTTTGTATTTTTAGTAGAGATGAGGTTTCACTATGTTGGCCAGGCTGATCTCGAATTCCTGACCTCATGATCCGCCCGCCTTGGCCTTCCAAAGTGCTGGGATTACAGACGTGAGCCACCGCACCCAGCCTATGCTGTACTTTTATATGCCTGTCAGCACACTAAGTGTGTTTACACCAGCTTCATGAACACTTGAGTAGTGCATTGCGCTGTGGCGTTATGATGGCTATGACATCACTAGGCAGTAGAAATTTTTCAGCTCCATTATAATCTTATGGGATCACTGACATATAAGTGGTCTATGGCTGAAGGAAGCGTTGTTATGTGCCTCATGACTATTATTAAACTATTTTCAACTCTGGTTGCCTACTCTGAGCAGGAATAGCCCTGGGATTCATTTTTATATTGGGAGGAAGTACTGTTATTAATTATCTCATTTTACTCTGTTAGAGCAATTTCTAAATCTGAGTTTTAAGAGTACCTACACATATCCTGTCTAATCTTTCCTTAAGAATAATTTTTTTTTTTTTTTTTGAGACAGAGTCTCTCTCTGTCACTCAGGCTGGAGTGCAGTGGTGCGATCTCAGCTCACTGCAAGCTCCGTCTTCCGGGTTCACCGCATGTCTCCTGCCTCAGCCTCCTGATCGTAAGCTGGATACAGGGCCCCCGCCACCCAACCCAGCTAATATTTCCAACTTTTAGTAAGATGCGGCGTTTCACCGGTTAGCCAGGTGGTCCCTCAATCTCCCGACCTCGTGATCCCGCTGACGCCTGTACCAAGCAGCTGGCGATCGACAGGCATGGAGGCTACTGGTGCCGCCTGGCCGAATAACTTTTTTTAATGAACGGATTTAATTTTTGGTTAAAGTAATCCATTTCGTAATTTGTTTGAATAGTTCACCTTAAAGAGTTAATTCATAGATCATTTGATGGTTATTTGAAATAATGATTGAAAAATAAAATGTAGATGGCAAATGGCCTGCGCTGGTGATAGTTATCGTGAAAGGGGGTTATATTGTTCTTTATCTCCTTGTGATTTTCGAAATCTGTGTTAAAATATAGGCATTAAAGGGGAGTCGATGGTGTTCTGAAGGCGTGGCTGGATGTGTTTTCTAAAATTAGATTGTGATATTGGTTCAAATTGATAAAATTACTAACACTATTGATTGTAACAAATGATATTTATGTTATGGTAAATTATACCTTATGAGCCTGTTAAAAAACAAAATAGCCTATATTCTAGGCAAAAATTAACTTTCAAAAAGGTCCCAATAGTGATTTCAATGGGTGTTTTAAACTTACAAACATTGGCTATTTTTTCTTAGAAATATATTGTATCATTATACAATGATGTAATTTCTTTTTTTTTTTTTTTTTTTTTTTTTTTTTTGTTTTTGAGAACGGAGGTCTCGCTCTGTCCCACCCCAGGCTGAGTGGCAGTGGCGGATTCAGCCACTGCAAGCTCCGCCTCCCGGGTTCACGCATTCTCCTGCCCCAGCCTCCGAGTAGCTGGGACTACAGGCGCCCGCCACCACTCGCCGGCTCTTAGTTTTTGTATTTTTAGTAGCAGAACCGGGGGTTTCACCCGTGTTAGCCAGGCATGGTCCTCGATTCCTGACTCTGTGACCGCCTCTCGGCCTCCCAAAGTGCTGGGATTACAGGCTTGAGCCACCGCGCCCCGCTAAAATATGTAATTTTCTATAGTTGGAAAATAACTACTTATTTTATTTATAACAATTTTTCTGATTTTTGTTTATTTTACAGAATAAACGGAACTTTAAAGATGCTTACGTAACCCTGCTTAACCAGTTGAAAAGATTTAAGCTTTCAGCATTAGCACCTCTTTTTGGAAGTTTAAAATGGAATAATATTATGGAAGAGGTAACAAAACGTTTTAAAAAGCTTTGTATTTGAACTAAGTTTTTAGTTATAGAAAGGTTGCAAAAATCGTACAGAGTTCTCATATACTTCTCATCCAGCTTCTCCTAATGTTAACATCTTAAATATGGGACATTTATGAAAACCATGAAATTAACATTGTGGTAATCCTGTTAACTAAATTTTAGAACTTATTCCAGTTCCACTGACTTTTCCACTGGCATCCTTTTGCTATTTCAGGATCAGTCCAGGATACCACATCCATTCAGTTGTCAGTCACACTTTTGAGTGTCCTCCAGTCTGTAATAGTTTCTCAGTATTTTCTTGTCTTTCATGACCTTGAAGGTTTTGAGACTACCAATCAGTTATTTTCTGAATTTCCTTCAGTTTGGACTTCTTTGATGTTTTCTCCTGATTGGAATGAGGTTATACATCTTTGGCTAGAATGTCACTGAATTAATCTTGGGTCTTCAGTGCATCCTAAGAATATGTCTGAGCATTGGTTAAGTTGGTGCTTGACAGTTTTCTCTACTGTGAGTTTACTATCTTCCCTTTGTAGTTAATAAATCTTTAAGGACATGCTTTGTGACTATGCAGATCCTGTTTCTTCTCAAACTTTAGTTGATTCACTTTAATGTCCGTAGCAGATCTTGTCTGCAACAATGATTATTGATGATTTTGCCAAATGGTGATTTTTTATTTCACTCTTTCCTTGGAATTCCACTGTAAGGGACAGCTGTCCTAGTGCTGCCATTTATTTGTTTATGTCAGTATGGATAAATATATTTATTTTATATTACAGGTTAGAATCCAACATTGTAATTGTTTTGGAGCTCAACATGTTCCAGGTTTGACCATTAGAAGCACCTTTAGGTTGGCGCCTGTGTTCTTTTACAAGCTTTCATCTTTCTGTACTTTCTAACTTTCTGAAATCACAAGATGGTTGGGTCTCATCTTGTATTTTCCCTGCCCCACCCCTGAAATTAACTACTTTGCCAAGGAAGAAGGCATTTAGAAGTTCAGATCTGAAAACTTTGTTGGTCAATTGCTACTGGAGTGTCATTGCTACTAGGACTTTTCAGCAAATGGAACTAGGATTCAAATCCATAATGGTTTATTTTACCCCTCCTCTTTCTTTATTTTTAATTTCTTTCTTCAATCAGGAGAAATCCAGCTTTCGTTATCTACAATATATTCACTTATTTATTCAGTTCTAATACACACATGAAGTTATTTTATTTTATTGATTTTGATTTTTATAGATTCAGGGAATACATGTGCAGGTTTGTTACATGAATATCTTGCATAATGTTGAAGTGTGGTTTTCTAGTGTACCCATCACCCCGTGTTGTACTCAGCAGGTAACTCTTCAGCCGTCACTCCCCTCTGACCCACCCCTTTTTGGAGCCCCCATGTCTATTATTTCCTTCTGTATAGTAATTTTGTAACTGCTAACCATACCCTGTGAGAAAAAGTCAATGATATTATAATGTTTATGTGTAGTTCTCTTTTAACTGTAGCCATAGAATATGTTAATACACTGTTTCCGAAGTTATTCAGGTTAGTGACTTTTTCATCTACCTCCTTTGGTGTGGTTATGTTATCCTTTCTTATTTAATACAGTTACATTCATTGGTTAGTGTTTGTATTTCATCTTGGGTCCCTCCCACCTATTTCCTAGTTGTTTTTAATTATGTTCATTTTGAAAGGTATGTGAAAGGTATAGGAAACATTGCCACCACCACACACACACACACACACACACACACACACACACACACACACATATTCTGGTGTTAAACACATAGATTGTAGCAAATATATATATATATGTGTATATATATATATGTGTATATATGTATATATATTTTTTTTGAGACGAAGTCTCGCTTTGTCCCCCAGGCTAGAGCGCAGTGGCGTGATCTCAGCTCATTGCAACATCCACCTCCCAGGTTCAAGCAATTCTCCTGCCTCAGCCGCCCACATAGCTGGGACTACAGGTGCCCGCCACCATGCCCGGCCTGTTTTTGTATTTTTAGTAGAGATGGGGTTTCACCTTGTTGGCCAGGCTGGTCTTGAACTAATGACCTCGTGATCTGCCCACCTCGGCCTCCCAAAGTGCGTGAGCCACCGCGCCCAGCCATAGCTTCTATTTTCTTGAGTGTTTTTATCATAAATGCATGAATGTTTATTAAAAGTATGGATATAATTGTATGATTTTTCCTCCTCAGTTTTATTAGCATTGTATAGGGTATTAATGATTTTCCCAGTATTGAAGCCTCTCTGTATTACTGGAATAAATCCAACTTAGTCATGGTGTATTGCTTCTTAATATGGTGTTGGATTCTGTTTACTAATATTTTGTTTAGAATTTTTGCATCAGTATGCATGAATGATATTTCTGTAATTTTGTTTCTTTGAATTGCCTTTATCTGGTTAGATGTCAGTGTGATATGTTTTTCATAAAAAAGATTAGAACGTCTTCTCTTCTTTTTCAATATTGTGAAATAGTGTATAGATCATTGGGATTATCTAGTCTTTGAAGATCTGATAGAAATCATCTGTGAAGCTATATGGTCCTGGTGCTTTTTTGTGAGGTAGTTTATTAATTTCCTGTATTTCTTCCATGGCAATTGACTTCTTTGGGCTTGTTAACTCTAATGGGGTCACATTTAGTAATTTATTCTTCTGTGAAAATTATCGATTTCACTTAAGTTTTCAAGTGTATTTGCATTGAACTTTGTGAAGTAGGCTTTTGTGATTTATCTTCTGTTTCAATAATTACTTTCCCTATTAATTTTTATTTTGTGTATTTGTGAGTTCTCTTGTTTTTTTTCTGATCAAGTTAGCTAGTGGTTTGTCTGTTTTTAAGTTATTTAAAACCAAGAATTTTGATTTATTAATGATATCTATTGATTTTTTAGTTTATTATGTGCTTGCTTTCATCTTTTACTTTTTTTGGTTTTTATGTTGCTGTTTCTTTTTAGATTTTTTGGGAGGCTGGGAACTTACTCATTTTAAAAATTCGTTTATTTTTATTGTTAAACATATTTAGTGAAATAAACTTTCCTCTGAATCACTGCTTTAAATATATCCCATAGATTATGCTGTAAATTGTTTTTATCATTAAAAAAAATTCTGTAATTTCAGTTTGTATTTCCTTTCACCCAAGTTTGACTGAATAGAAATGTTTATAAGTTCCAGATTAAAGCATGTTTGTGATTTTTTTTTTCTTTTTCTTTTTTTTTTGAGACAGTCTCGCTCTGTCACCAGGACAGAGTGCAGTGGCACAATCTCGGTTCACTGCAGCCTCCGCCTCCTAAGTTCAAGTGATTCTCCTGCCTCAGCCTCCCGAGTAGCTGGGACTACAGGCTCGTATCACCACGCCCAGCTAATTTTTGTATTTTTAGTAGAGACAGGATTTCACCAAGTTGGCCAGGATGGTCTCGATCTCTTGACCTCATGATGTGCCCGCCTTGGCCTCCCAAAGTGCTGGGATTACAGGCATGAGCCACCGCACCCGGCTACATTCATAATTTTTAAAATTTCTTGTTTTTCCCACTGCCTTTATTGTATTAGGAAGATGTTAACATATAATTAATTTTTATGGATGTGCTGGGGACATTTAAGACAAATGAAGATTCCCTATCACCACAATGTAGTTTGATTTATAAGGTTTACTCTGTTCATTATGGTGGTTTAAGTCTTTTATCCCTTAACTTTTTTTTTTTTTTTTGGTCCAACTGTCTCTCTTGTGTATAAAAATTCGTTATTATAGGTGAGTTTCTCTATAGAGTTTATCTTTTGTCACTTTTATTTCACAAAGTTGGTTGCCATGCTATATGTTGGATAATTTTTCATAAGGGATATCTTTTCATTATAGATTATGGCTTTTAGAATAAGACTGCTTTTCTTTTTCACATGTAATGCTTTTGAGTTTGAATTCTACTTAGCCCAATATAAAGATACTAACCTCTGCTCTCTTTTTGTTTCCATTTACCTGGTAGAATCATGTCCATTCCTTTATTTTTAGTCTTTCTGAATCACTTTGTTTTAGTTGTGTGTCTTGTATATGGAATGCGGTCCAAGTTGAAATTATTTTTTTCTTTTATAGGTAAGTCTTACATTTACTGATATGACTGATACGTTTGGTCTTGATTCTATAATATGTTATAGGCATTTATATTCCAGTGTGTTTGTTAAGTTTCTTTGATTATGAGATGTGTATTCTTTGTTATTTCATTTAAACAATTTTAAACTTTGGTCTGTTTTACATGTTTCGTTATGGTAATTACCTTTGGGCTGTACCATTTTTATAAAAAGAATAATCTCAATTCTCTGTTTCCTTATTTTACCTTTCACTATGTGGTTTCTGAGGTTTTAGTATTTTTCAGTATCCTCTAGCACTCATTTATTGTGTATAGTGGGTTTTCTTGGATTATTTTTAAAATATTAATTTTATTATTATTAAATTATCATTATTACTATCATTTTATTATTTATTATTTTTCATTGAGACAGAGTCTTGCTCTGTTGCCCAAGCTAGAGTGCAGTGACGTGATCTTAGCAACCTCCCTGCCTCCCTGATTCAAGTGATTCTTCCACCTCAGCCTCCCGAATAGCTGGAACTACAGGCCTGCGCCACCACACCTGTCTAATTTTTGTTAAAAGTGAGTTTTTGTCATGTTGCCCAGGCTGGTCTCGGGCTCCTGGCTCCAGCTTCCCAGAGTGCTGGGATTATAGCCACCGTGCCTGGCCCAGTTTTGTTGTTGAAAAGATGTGTAATGATAAAAATATTTTTCTGTCTTTCATTTCCCCTATTATTTTTCTGACCTTTTTTGGTTTTTATTTTATGTCATTTGGTTGTTTTCCTACCTTTCTTCATTAAATTTTATTGAGATTATTCTCCTTTGGGCATCTTGTAACTTATTCTTTATTTCTGGATAGCTTTGCATTTTTCTAAGATTATTTTGCTGAATTAATTATTTATTGTCTGCCTGCCTGCCTTCCTTCCTTCCTTCCTTCCTTCCTTCCTTCCTTCCTTCCTTCCTTCCTTCCTTTCTTTCTTTCTTTCTTTCCAACTCTGTTTTTGTTTATCAGTTGCTGAACAAAGATCATTTTTTGGCTGGGCGCAGTGGCTCATGCCTGTAATCCCAGCACTTTGGGAGGCTGAGGCAGGTGGATCACAAGGTCAAGAGATCGAGACCATTCTCGTCAACATGGTGAAACCCCGTCTGTACTAAAAATACAAGAATTAGCTGGGCATGGTGGTGCACACCTGTAGTCCCAGCTACTCAGGAGGCTGAGGCAGGAGAATCGCTTGAAACTGGGAGGTGGAGGTTGCAGGGAGCCGGAATTGTGCCACTGTTCTGCAGCCTGGGGGGAAGAGGGAGATTCCCCCCAAAAAAAAAAAAAAAAAGAAGATCATTTTTTGTATGATCTCATGCTTGTTTGAGTATATCCATATTTAGAATGTAGACTTAGAGATTTCTTCTGCTTTATGGTTGCTGTTTTTATTATTACTTTCAGAGGTAATGATGAGATTTTTTTCACACAATTTGTGTGAATTTTTTTCCTGCTATTATTTTTTGCAATAACTCTCTATGTACTTTCCTTTTGTTTTAATGATATTGAGGTTTGTTATAAGATACTTCAATTTAATCCAATCCAATTAATTTAATTTAATATAATTTAATTTAATGTTATCTTTTTCTGCTAGCTTGTCAGAGTCCAGGCGTGTTAGTGGGGTTTTTGTTAGTTTGTTCATTTATTTGTTTTGGTAGTGGGCGAGTGGTTTTGAATCTTCAGATTATCTGCTTTTCTTCTGACTTGCAGAGCCCTCAAATTCTTCTTTGTCTTCTTTTACCCTTTCGCCACTTAGTTGCCGAAGGATACTTCTTCCTTTTTCTAAAGCTTCCTTTTCTTTCCCAAAGCTGCTTTCAGAAAATTGTCCCCTTAGGTAGTTCCTATCTTTCAAATAGTCTCCATTCTTTTTAAAAATTTTAAATTAAAAAAAATTTTTTTGATTGACATATCGTAACTATATATTTATGAAGTACAATGTTTTGTTTTGATATATGTATACAATATGACATGATTACATGGAGCTAATTAACATATCCATCACCTTGCTTACCTATCATTTGTCATTGTAAGACATTTGAAATTTATGCACTTATTTTGAGATATATGACATTATTATTGGTTGTAGTCATCCTGCTGTATAATAGATCTCAAATCCCATTCCTCTTTTTTATCTGAAAGTTTGTACCTTTGGATCAGCAAGTCTCCATTTCTCCCCTCACCCCCTGAAGAGAAGAGTTTCTCTTCTCTATGAGTTCAACTTTGTTAGATTCTACATGTAAGTGAGATCATTTGGTATTTGGCTCTTTCTCTTGGCTTATTTCACCTAGCATAATTCATGTTGTTTCATTCATGTTGTTGAAAATGACAGGATTTCTCCCCATTTTAAATGTTCAATAGTATTCCATTGTGTATATATACTTCGTTTTCACTGTTCGTTCATCTGTTGATAAACAAGGACTTAGGTTAATCCATGTCTTGATTTTGTGAACAATGTGTCAATGAACATGGGAGTGCAGATATCCCTTCAACATACTGTTACAAGAAAAACTTCAGCTGAATTAAATTTAAAGGAGTTTAATTGAGCAATGAACAATTCACATATCAGGCAGCCCCCAGAATCACAGCAGATTCAGAGAGACTCCAGGGTCCCTCGTGGTCAGAACAAACTTACAGACAAAAAATATAAAGTGACATACAGGAATTGAAAGTGAGGTACAGAACAGCTGGATTGGTTACAACTCTGCATTTGCCTTATTTGAACACAATTTGAATGCTCAGCACTGTATAAGTGGTTGAAGTATGGCTGCTTGGATCGGCCAAGACAGTGATCGTTACAGGAACATACTCGTAAACTGGGTTCTCTATCTTGTCTACCTATTAAGTTACGTTGCAATTTATCCACAAGGATTCAAATATGAAGTATGAAGTCCTTCTCAAGCCATATTTAGTTTGCTTTAACCATACTAATTTCAGTTCCTTTGGATACATACCCAGACATGGGATTACTGGGTCGTATGGTAGTTCTAATTTTAGTTTTTTGAGGAAGTTTCATACCGTTTTCCATAATGGCTATACTGATTTACATTCCTACCAGCAATGTATTAGAGTTCTTTTTTCTCTGCTTCCTCTCTGACACTTGTTATCTCTCATCTTTTTGACTAAAGCCCTTCTGACAGATGTGAGGTGATATCTCATTGTAGTTTTAATTTGCACTTGCCTAATGATTGGAATAATTAGTAGCACTGAGCGTATCTTTCGTGTACCTATTGGCCATTTGGTTTTTTGTTTGTTTGTGTGTTTTTAGTAATGTCTGTCCAGGTCCTTTGTCTATTTTTAAATTGGATCATTTGTTTTCTTACTATTGAGTTTGAGTTGTTTCTATACTTTAGATCTTAACTCCTCATTAAATGTATGGTTTGGCTGGGTGCAGTGGCTCATACCTGTAATCCCAGCACTTTGGGAGGCCTAGGTGGGTGGATCATTTGAGATGAGGAGTTTGAGATCAGCCGGACTGACATGGTGAAACCCCATCTATACTGAAAATACAAACATTAGCTGGGCGGTAGTGGCACGTGCCTGTAATCCTAGCTACTTGGGAGGCTGAGGCAGGAGAATCGCTTGAGCCTGGGAGGCAGAGATTGCAGTGAGCTGAGATCGGGCCACTACACTCCAGTCTAGGTGATAGAGTGAGACCCCGTCTCTAAATAAATAAATAAATAAATAAATGTATGGTTTGCAAAATCTGTGCACTGCCTCTGTTTCATTTGTTGTGCAGAAGATGTTTACTTTGATACTATCCCATTTGGCTATTTTTGCTTTTGTTGCCTGTGCTTTTGTGGCCAGCCATATCCAAAATATCATTGCCCAGGTCAATGTTGTGGAGCTTTCCTCGTATGTTTTCTTCTAGTAGTTTTACGCTTTCAAGTCTTATATTTAAGTCTTTAATCCATTTTGAGATGCTTTTTGTATATGGTATGAGGATCTAATTTCATTGTTTCTCTCGTTATACAGTGAGCTCTTTTATTCTATGTACACAGGTTTCCTTTCATCTCAGAACAATTTTATCATTTCTTTTTTTTAAGTTTATTTTAAGTTCAGGGGTACCTGTATAGGATTTTTGTGGAGATAAACTTGGGTCATGGGGGTTTGTTGTACAGATTATTTTGTCACACATGTGTTAAGCCTAGTAGCACCCACTAGTAAGATCACTTACGAATAAAAATATTTTTCTAAATAGCATGACACGTTACAAGATTTTTTTCTTTGACAGGCACACGAGACTGTATCTATGCTTACACAAGTCTGGCCAGAAGGATCTGACATTCGGCGTGTCTTCTGTGTTACTTCATGCTCATTATCCTTGAGAATGTACCATCGCTTTTTAGGAAACAGAGAGCCCTCCTCTGGTCAGGAAACTGAGATCCAACAGGTGTGGTTGTTATAACTTTACTGAGAAATACTATTTCTCTCCACTTTTGAAATTTTGTTGATTTGTATCTTTCATTTCTTCTATTTGGTACTTCATGTTTTTCTCTTATTTATATAAACTTCAAAAAATAAAACTGAAACTTTTGTCTATCAGGAAACACTTATTGTGCCATTAAATGATTTAATGTTTTACTATATAGATGTTTCACTTAGTATATACTTAGTCTAAATCATCCAAAAGAAAACGAAACAAGACAGGGTATTAGCACTTGGCGGAGGCCTAATATGCTACTGTGTTTTGGGCTTTTTGTATGCATTGTGCCATTAATCCTCACAACAGCATTGCAAGAAAGGCATTAGTACTCCCATTCCACCTATGAGAACACTGAAGTTCAAATAGTCCAGGTAACGTTTTTCAAACCAAAGGTACTAAAAAGCAATGTGGATTGAACTCAGGTCCATCTTGTGGAGGTTCCACAATATCAAACTGCCTTTTTTTTTTTTTTTTTTTTTTTGAGACTGAGTCTCGCTCTGTCGCCAGGCTAGAGTGCAGTGGCTCGATCTCGGCTCACTGCAAGCTCCGCCTCCCGGGTTCACGCCATTCTCCTGCCTCAGCCTCCCGAGTAGCTGGAACTTACAGGCGCCCACCACCACGCCTGGCTAATTTTTTTGTATTTTTAGTAGAGACGGGGTTTCACCGTGTTAGCCAGGATGGTCTCGATCTCCTGACCTTAGGTGATCCGCCTGCCTTGACCTCCTAGAGTGCTGGGATTACAGGTGTGAGCCACTGTGCCCGGCCCCAAACTGTCTTTTAAAAGAACATTCCTACTGTAGTGTCTTAGCCTTCATCCTAGCTGGAGAGATACTAAAGTTTTCAACCTTCTTTATGGCCAATAGGGTCCATTAAGAATCTGTTGGCCAGTCTGGATTCTTTCCCCCAGTATACAGTTGTCTCTACGTATATGTGCTTATGGACGTGCATGTTTACACATACACACACACACACTCAGACGCATGTGTATACATACTATTCTGTATACAATCTACCTGCTGTGGGATTCTTGGCTAAAGATTTATATTAAAGAGAAATGAAGTTGCTGAACATTTCAGAAATGTTCAGGGCTCATTATCTTTTACTTCGCATCCTTAAAATTGTTTTTCCAATTATCAGACTGAATATAATTTTAGTGAAACATTTTTTCATAGCTAGACATAGTATTTTAAATCGCTCTCACAAAAATGATACTAAGTCGAATCGCCTCTCTGGAATTTCTAATGATTAGACTCTATTTGGCCTTCTGGAGGTGCCCTGATGAAATCTTACACTTGCATTGTTGACAGCCCTGCAAATGTTTGAAGATAGCTATGACGTTCTTGTCCCATGATGTCAGATGTGTCCACTTCTTTACTTGTGTTCTCGCAGGGCAGATTTTTCAGATATATTACCGTCCTGGTGTCCTCGCCCTGGTCATTTTCAATATTACATTTAAAATATGATGCCTTGGATGGAATAGAGCATTTAATGTGTGACTCCATCAAGGTAGAGGCCTGTGAAAATACAACTTCATTAGTTGCTTGATCAGCTCACGTAGAGTTCGGCTTAACTAAAAATCCTGAAAAATGTTTTATTTTAACTGCTATTCAGCCGGCAGCTTCCCGTTCCACTTACCTCACATCTGTATAAATGCAGTAGAGTTTATGTTATAAAGAAAAGGAAAGTTAAAAAATGTAGAATGAAAAATGTAATGATTCAGCTGGGCACAGTGGCTCACACCAGTGATCCTAGCACTTTGGGAGGCTGAGGCGGGTGGGTTACCTGAGGTCAGGAGTTCGAGACCAGCCTGGCCATGGTGAAACCCTGCCTCTACTAAAAATACAAAAATTAGCTGGGCATGGTGGCAGGTACCTATAATCCCAGCTACTTGGGAGGCTGAGGCAGGAGAATCACTTGAACCTGCCGTGAGCTGAGATTGTGCCACTTCACTCCAGCCTGGGTGAAAAAGCAAAACTCTGTCTCAAAAAAAAAAAAAAAAAAAAAAAAGGAAGAATTCACGATTCCTACACAGCAAAGGTGGCTGCCAGCCCCTGTGGTCCTACATGCTTATTATCCAGTGTCACATCCTGCTGTTCTCTGGCTTACCTTCCTTATTTTATTCAGGTGAACAGTAACTGCTTAACCCTGCAGGAGATGGAAGATTTGTGTAAACTGCACTGTCTCACTGTGGTTTTTCTACTCCATCTGCCTCTTTCTCAAAGAGCTTGTGCTAGAGTCGTCACTTCCCATTGGGCTAAGGACATGAAGCCTTTATTACAAATGGTAAATGGATTCTTTATTAGTTTACTATTTTTGTGTTTTGAATGTTTGGTAGATAAAAACTGCAGTAACTTTCAAAATTCCCTTTTTTGGGACTACCATTAGCCCCCTGAGGGCTATGAAAGTTTAATGGGCTACATCAATCACTTTCCAATTTCAGCATCTATGTTTAGGAGAACTAACAAATAGCATAATACAGATCTAACCTAAGGAAAAAGCCTCTCTGTTTTTCCTTCGTTAAATCTCTGCCAAGATCAGATTTTTGTGTTATCAACCATAGTTGATGGTTGGTGATCACGGTGGTTTAAGAGGAACTGAAGAAATCAATGTAGTAGTTTATTACTTTCAACTGTTATAGAGAATATTTAGAGACAATTTGGAGACTTTAGGAAACTAGAAGCAAAAACAGAAGAAAAACTTCCCTGGAGGACTACCACTTTAATCAATGAGGATAACTGTTAACATTTTGGTTTATTCTTTTTATTTTAAATGCATATATTTTTCTGATGTTTTATTGTTTCTTATATTGGAGCTCTCTATATATACCTATATATTTTTTTCCTTCATGTTTTTCTATTTTCTTTCACAATATTAGGATCATTTTTTAATGGCTACTAGTTATCTTTTAGTACCATGGTTTACTTACCCATTTCTCTATTATGGAATATTTAGAAGACTTTGATGGTTATATTATAGATGTTGTTATTCTCTTTGTATATAAGCCTTTTTCTTTAATTTGGGGTTATTGATTTTGGCTTGAGAGTAGAAATGGGATTAAAGGAACAATTGGCATGAACTTTTTTTAAGGATCATGATACGTATACTGAAAATGTTCAACAAAAGCATTTTATGACCAATTAAGTAGGAAGCCAGTCCACAAACATTTAGTGCATTGTGCTAATTGCTGGAATAGAGTGAGAAAAATAAAAACATATTTACCCTTCCCACTCCAACCCCTTCATACAGCTACATTTTCCAGAGAAGACAGATACTAAATTTTAAAAGTAATTATAAGGACAGAACCGTAGAATGCTTTATAATCTGATAATAACGAGATCCAACGTAGTCTGAAAACAATGGTTCTTCTTAAGAAAGAAAGAGAGGTGGGGCACAGTGGCTCACGCCTGTAATCCCAACACTTTGGGAGGCTGAGGTGGGTGGATCACAAGGTCAGGAGATTGAGACCATCCTGGCTAACATGGTGAAACCCCATCTCTACTAAAAAAATACAAAAAAATTAGACAGGCATGGTGGCGGGCACCTGTAGTCCTAGCTACTTAGGAGACTGAGGCAGGAGAATGGCATGAACCCGGGAGGCAGAGGTTGCAATGATCTGAGATTGCGCCACTGCACTCCAGCCTGGGAGACAGAGTGAGACTCCGTCTCAAAAAAAAAAAAAAAAAAAAAAAAAAAAAGGGAAAAGAAAGTGACCCAAACCCAAAGTCCTAGAGGAAGAGAAGGAGTTAGCATCATGGAGAGAAGATGAAACTGGATTCTAGGGCACGAAGCAGCATGTGTAATTATCCTGAGGATGGCATAACCGAGGAACTGAGATACATCTATCATAGCAGGGGTAGGAAAAATATGGGAAAGTGATGAAGCTGAAGAGGCAGGTAAGAGATAAGTCACATAGGATTCTGTAGGCCCTGTTAAGAGAATGGAGATGTGACTTGATAGAAGCACAATGAGGATCCACTGGATGGTTTCAAATGGATGAGTGGCACTTGCATTTGCAAAAACTTTCCCTGGCTTGCAATGCAGAGAGTGCATTGGAGAGGCAAAACGGGGGATTTGGGGAAATTAGGTGGCTATTATCTCAGTCATGTAAGTGTAGATGGTGTTAGGGACCAGCGAGAGGTAAGTAGGGATGAATAGCAGTGGGCAATTTTAAAAGTTATTTAAGGTGAAGAATGACAAGTTTAGTGTTTGAGTGTGGGGAATGAGGGAAAGGAAGGAGTCAAATAATTCCTAGACCCCTGGCTTCAGCATTTGTGGGGATGCTGCCATTGTATGAAGGGCATGTTAATGGGAAAGGATCATGAGTTTCTTTTTTGGAAATATCAAGTTTAAAGTGCCAAAGAAATGTCCACATGGAGATATCTAGTAAACAATTTGAAATAATGGTTTGGAATGGTTTGGACTTAGAAGGGTGGAATGGGCTGGAGATAAAGTTTAGGAATCATTACTCTATGGATGTTAATTGAGGCTCTGCTAAGACATGAAATTATTTTGGAAGAGAGATATGGTAAGAGAGCTGAGGACAGAGAGCTCAAATATTCCAGTATTAAACACTTAATTATGGGTTGAGACACTGGCAAAATACACCGAGAAGGAACTACTTAGATAAATGGGAATAAAATCAAGGAGAATGGGTTTTCCTGAAGGTCAAAGGAACTGGGCAGTTCAAAAGGTGGATGTGGTTAATAGTATCAACTGCTATAGAAGACTGTAATAGGTTGAGAACTGAAAATACATTGGTTTTAATGAAACAGAGCTCACTGTTGATCATAATTAAGAGACTAAGGTCTAGGTTATACTTTTAGCTAACAGAAAACATTAGTTTTTAATTAGACATAACAATGATCCTCTTATGTCCTCATTTTGCAAAGGAAAAACTTGGACTCAGCTATGTGGTCCATGAGCACAGCTAATGAATGATCAAGTTGAGATCTGACTTCACTCTGTCTAGCTTCCAAATATTTGCCCTATGAAGTAACAGCTGATCAGCCCATAGTCAGCCATCCTTCCTGCCTTTCCCATACTCCATGCCTGATTTTTGGTAACACTCTGCAGCCTGAAGTGTAATTTCATGTAGCCCTTAATCTTTTCACAATAAAAGAAATTTTTGACATTTTTTGAGGCCTCTTGAGAAAGCAACTAATCTAATCGTGGAAGGGATTGTTCCATGAGGTTTACTCTGAATCTTGAAGCATGGAGACCAACCAGGTAGGTGGATGGGAATCTTAAAAGTTTGAAGGATTCAGCATCTTCTAGTTCCCTGAACACTCAAACACATTTTTTAAAAATGCTCTTTTGACCTAAAAGTTAAAACTGAATATATTAAAATCTAAATAAAGAACAGAAGCACATTTCAAAGCAGAAGTATTTCTGTAGCTTTGGGATTCTATCTTTGGGTAACAGTGTGAGAAAAATACTATTTTAAGAGTCAAATGCAGATTTCATTGATTCAGGATAAATAACTATACAAAATGCATTTTTGGATCAGTTTTTATTTTATTTTATGCTTTAATTCCTTAAGGTGTAAAGCATTCACCATTACCCAGCCTGAATGGGCTTACATTAACAAGAATTGGAATGACCCTGCCCACTGCCTTTCAGTTCAAAAGCATATGAACCCTATAGTTTATTGCTAATATGAATATTGCCAATAATTTAGTTTTCTTTTCAATTTTCAGAAAAAATGGTGTGAATATTTCATCTTAAGAAATATACATACTTTTGAATTTTGGAATCTGAATTTAATTCACCTTTCTGACTTAAGTGATGAGCTTTTGTTGAAGAATATTGCTTTTTACTATGAAAATGAAAATGTAAAAGGTACCATCTCAGTATATTATAATCATTATACTTGCATCCACAGATAAACTTCATAAGGGATTTAAAACTACAAAATAATTTTTCTGTACTTCCAACATACAACATAGCAATTATTTTCATCTTTGTTCACATATGTATGTAATATTTTAGTTGCAGTCAGAGGGAATGCTGTATTTTAAAATATGTTTTTCACTTAATATTACATTGAAAGTATTTCAGGAGAAAATATATGTTTGTGTGTCCAGCATTTTCAGTTAATTTCAAAAGTTGAACTTTTCATTTAAATGCGCGCATAATATTTCTTCATAAAATTTAATTAGTTTAATTATTTCACTACTATTGAGATATTTAGGAAATTTAATTTTTTTCTAAAAGATAAGGCTAATTTGTATGTTTTTATATGTAATTTGTTTTTCTTTCTTTAAAATCTTTTCTTAGGGTAAGGTTTCTGATGTTTCCTAATAGTAAAACCAAACGATACAAAACAAAAACATATTTGGACAGAACTCTGTCTGATTGAACATTATCGAAGCTGTGATGTGGTTCCTTCATATTGTAATCATTGTAATGAATTAACCGCATATAAACTTAACAATCCTTTACCAATTTTCTCATCTCTCAAAAATTAAAGTTTTTATTCTGTTTTGTTGGTTGTAAAGTTATGTGTGGCATAACATTTTTATTACCTTAAAGAGAAGTTAAATGTTCACGATGCATTTTGTGGGATAATATACTTACAAAGTTAATACTTAGTTATTAAAATGAAAAACAAGATAAACTTTACGATCTGTATCTCGTAGTCAACACTAGTGACCATTTTCATTTATGTCCAGTGTGGAAGTCACCAAAACTTTCACTATGTGGAAAGTATTTCAGAATTCCATGAATTTACTCAAAATGTGACTAATGATTCTTTATATGGGTGTGGATGGCTTCTACTATTTAGTGTTTTTAATTGTTATGTAGGCCTACATTTGAATTTGGGAGATACCATTATGAAAGATTATGAATATCTCTGGAATACCGTATCAAAGTTGGTCAGAGACTTTGAGGTTGGACAGCCATTTCCTCTGAGAACAACAAAATTTCGTTTTCTTGAAAAGAAACCATCACCAATCAAAGGTAATAAATTTCTCAATTAATCTGAAATGAAAACATTATTCCTCTGAAAATGTTTAGGAAATACCAGTAATTCAATGCTGCAAGTATAAATAATTTTCTGGCACTTGAATTTTAATAATAATAAATTACCTTTATTCTTATATCCTTGGAGTGGTATGCTATGACTATAATTATGAAGATTTACATTTTGCTTATAATTAATATTGTTTCAATTAAAAAACACAGCCAAACATATGTGACTTCCATTTCTAGCAATATGGCAGTTATAGCTCAACAGAAAAATCTCTTTGTGTAAAGCACTTGAGATGCTGAATAAGAGACACCAAACATCTTTTTATATCATTATAGCTAAGCTCAAAACATCCTAGGGGTTGAAAAAGTTAGGGAAGGCCACATGGGCTCTCCGCCTCTTTTAGGCAGCAAGTTGCAGGGGCTTAAATAAGAAAGCATCCGAACAAACACAGGCACAGGGAGCACCAGGAGGATCCCAGGCAGAGCAATGGTGGTTTACCTGGAATCATGAACCAGACATTCAATAGAATACAAAGTCATTCATTTGTCTATTATCATCATATACATGATATGTAATACCTATCTATCTATCTATCAGTCTATCTGTCTGTCTGTCTCGTGTGTGTGTGTGTGTGTGTGTGTGTATAAAATCAAAGAGGACCCAAAAGAATACTGTAATCATATCAAATAATTTCATTACCATCTGTATTTTCCCTACTTCTTTTTTATTTCATCTCATGAAAATCTATATATGTGTGTATATGTGTATGTATATGTGTATAGATATATAATCTCTGAGGCTTCCATCGTCAAACTCTTTGTCTTATAATAAGGAATAATAAAAGGAATTCACATTTGAAAATAAAAGACATGGGTATTTTTCTTTATCTTCCTTCCTTCCTCCATCCCTCCCTCCCTTCCCCCTGCTGCTTGCTTGCCTTTCTTTCTCTTGCTTTTCTTTTCTTCTTTTTTCTTCTCTCTCTCTCTCTCTATTTTCTTCTTTCTTCTTTCTTTCCTTTCTTTTCTCTTTTCTTTCTTTCTTTCTTTCTTTCTTTCTTTCTTCTTTCTTTCTTTCTTCTTCTTTCTTTCTTTCTTTCCATTCCTTCCTCCCTTCTTCCTTCTTCTCCTTCACTTCCTTCCTTCCTTCTTCCCCTTCCTGTCCTTCCTTCCTTCTCTTCCTTCCTTCTTCCTTTCCTTCCTTCCTTCCTTCCTTCCTCTCGTATTCTTTCTATTCTTTCTTTCTTTTCTTTCTCTTTCTTTCTTTTTTTCTTTCTTTCTTTCTTCTTTTTCTTTCTTTTCTTTCTTTCTTTCTTTCTTTCTTTCTTTCTTTCTCCTTCCCTCCTTCCTTCTTCCATCTCCTCCTTCCTCCTTCCCTTCCTTCCTCCCTCCTTTCTTTCTCTTTCTTTCTTTCATTCTTTGCTTCCCCTTCCTTCCTTCCTTCCTTCCTTCCTCCCTCCCTCCCTCCCTCCCTCCCTACCTCCCTTCCTTCTTTCCATCTACCTACCTATCTGATTTATCCATCTATTATCTGTCTACTTACCCATCCATGCATCTATCCATCCACCCATCCACGCATCCATTCACCCACCCATCCCCCATGCATATCCACATATATGCCAAAATGCTGTCTAATTCTTTATACTCTACTGTGTTCCAAAGTGTTTTACTGTGGGAAAAACTTTATGAGAAGGGCTGAACTTGATACATGTAAATAAGATTAATGTAAAATGTTTTTAATGTGAGTTTTAGAAAATAATATGTAATATTCCTGTCTGAAAGTTTTACATTTGACCTTGTCTCAATTTTTTTTTGTTTGTTTGTTTACAGACAGCGCCAGTGAAATGGTGCCCAATTTGGGTTTTATTCCAATGTCCTCTTTTGTGGTTGATAAATTTGCTGGAGATATTTTGAAAGATTTGCCTTTTCTAAAAAGGTATAAGACCAAAACTGTGCCTCAATAAATACTTGTATGGAATACATGAGTTACACAACAAGGATTATTTGAAATGCAGATGATCAGAGTACATTACATGTAGTATGTGTTTGTAATGCATAATGAATTTAAAATCAAAATTTTCAATGCCTTTTGGCCGTTACTATGTAAAAATCTGTATAGTTTTTAATCTTAGAATAAGTCACTACAGCTGCATATTTTAAATTAATGAATTAATGAATGCATATTAATTGATATTGATGAGACTGTCAGAGACATGGAGTAGATTTTGATTTATTAAACCTCTAATAAACTTCTCTTTGGATTCTACCACCCACATCATATTGCAGAAAGAAGAAGGGGAGCTATGATTTTCAAAAATATTATAAAATAAAATCTGTGCTATGTTATATTTAGAAGTGTGCAATTTAAAATATGCTTTTTTTTTTTTTTTTTTTTTGTCTCGCAGTGATGATCCTATTGTTACTTCACTGGTTAAACAAAAGGAATTTGATGAACTTGTGCACTGGCATTCTCATAAACCCCTGAGTGATGATTATGACAGGTCCAAGTGTCAGTTTGATGGTGAGCTCTGTGACTCTAGTGAAATAAATTTAAATCTACTTTACTCTCTGCCTTTTGTTTTATAGTGGAAAATTATCATATCATGAGACACAAATTAAGTTTTTTTGAATAAAAATAGTCTACAAGATATTTAGATGTGCATTGGGAAAGATGGTAATGAAAAATTCTCTTTTTCTTCATTGACAGTCATATGCATATAGATATGTATGTGTTTTAGGAGGAAGTGCTAGAAGTTGTTTTAAGGAAAGATGGTTTGTAGTTTAAGCAATGTATGTATTCCTTGGAGTCAAATATATTGAGACCATAGTATTTCAAGCAATTTTAACTGTTTCATACCACCCGATTGGCTGCATGTAATAAGCACCAACATTCTATCTGCCTTCATGCTCAGGGTGGTTGAAACTACAAAAGGAGGCCCATGAAACCGCTAACAGTGGATCAACAGAGACTGAATTTAGGATCTTGTCTTCATCTCAACTTTCTGTATCCCTGTGCTTACCCCCAGCCCCCTTAGAGTTGACAAAACTTACTCTGAGAATAACCTAGGAGTAGGCATATCAAGTATGCTCATATGAAGTACTTATTAGCCTGGGTATGTAAAAAATGACCAAGGTGTTGGGGGGATGCTTTAGACAAACCATTAACATGCTTCAGAGTGGTTTGGTTTGATGTATATATTTACAGACATAGAAAAATTAGCTTAGTTATTTCATTTCTGTGAGTATTATGGAGGTAAGAGAGTAAGGCATACCTTGATTATTGGGACTTCTTACGTTATGAGATTTTACCATTTTAGCTGCCATGCTCTGGGCTCTGGCTCTGTGGCTATGGTCTGGAGTAAGGATTTTATCTATCCAGTGATGCAAGAAGCCAGAATATCTTAGATAGTTGTCTTCTTGCCTCTGCCTCTACCTTCTTCTTAAACTAATTCACAGGGCAGAGGACATACGTAATGCCTGGAATCTGTCATTTTTTTTGTTGCACCCTGATACCTGATTTAGGAGGTAGACCATGAAAGTGTGTTTTGTCACTTCCACCCTTTGAATAAGAGAAGGAATTATTATCCATAGATAACTTGATTTTACATTCTCTCTTTAAGAAAGATAATAAGATTAAATTACTTTTCCACTAATTTAACTAATGGATGTGGGATAATATGAAGAATTGATGAGAATGCTATTGAAAAACTATAATAAAGTTACATTTTAAGTCTTTTCTTTTTCAGAAAAATCTAGAGACCCTCGTGTTCTTAGATCTGTGCAAAAGTATCATGTTTTCCAACGGTTTTATGGGAATTCATTAGAAACAGTCTCTTCGAAAATCATCGTGACTCAAACTATTAAGTCAAAGAAGGATTTTAGTGGGCCCAAGAGCAAAAAGGCACACGTAAGTTCTATACATTCTATCAAATTAAAAAAAAAATCTTTTTCTTTTCTCAAGTTGATATTTGTTATCCCTTTAGTGGTTTCTTTTTATATAATGCTTTTTCTTTATACATATATACACACACACACACACATATATATGCATGTATTTTTACATATGATTACTTATTCTTTTACCTCTTGCTGAAAAAGCCTAACCTGCATAAAAAAGTTGTAATGGTATTCTATACATAATAACGTATGTATCTATTTGCAGAATAATTAAGTGACTAAAGTTTTGAGTTTAGAAATTTTAAACTAACATTAAAAATATAGTTGTTCATTAGTTAATGATAGTGAAAATCTTTTTCATATAGGTGGTAAAAATAGATATGAAATGTTTATCTACTTTTTTCTAAATTATAAAGAGTGTTTACACTTTTCCAAAGTATTTAAATGATTGATCAGTCCACCACATTTTGTGAGTGGAAGGTTAGAACTGTCCATTTCGTCTTTCCGTGTGGGTTGGACTCCTGCAACCTTACCTTTTTCCTTCTTGGGATGTTGTTTTTCTACTCTTTTCCCAGGAGACATAACTGTGGAATGGAATACAAGGAGTAAATAAGAAAAGTTCCAATCTATTTCTGGAATAATAATACTAATAGTTTATGATCTAAAATTATCAGTTGATAATTCCTGCAACATTAATGTCTAAGTACAGATATTTTTATTTTAAAACTGAATTTTCTGATTATTTGACTTTAGAGACAGGTCATAAAGGTTTCCATCTTAAACAAATGGAAAAGTCATCAGGCTTTAGTATCTTTCTGTGGGCCTCAAAGTTGGGGATTTGGTAATGGCATTTATTTTCACAAAAAGTTTCTCTCAAGATGAAAGATTTTAATATATTAGAGAAAGTACCAACTTAACAAAACCAATCACAAATAAAGATATTTGTCACATATCTACCTTAACAAATTGAAATAAACATGGTGAAGTTATCAGGAATGAAACATATAAAGACCTCAAAAAATATTTTTATTCTCACTTCTGAATAATTACTTTTGTGAAAATTTTGGCAAGATCAGGAAAATGTGCATCTCTTTGTCAAGCCTTCAGTGGACATTTCAGAACTCCAAGAGACAGTTCATCAGTTCAAGGACTTATCAATAAAGCTCTTGTATTTTCCACTCAAGATAACATCAAAAAATAATCACAAATTACTCTAAAAGGTTCTCAGACATTCTATGAAGGCTCTATTCTTCAACTGCTTCAAAAGTTTAAGCAATTGGCTGTCCCATCTTCTGTTTTAAGAGCCAAAGGGAAGCCTCTCTGAGCCCAACTACGTGATCATTGTTTCTCTCCTCCTTTTCATTTATGTAGCCAATTGTATTGTCAGTGAGACTATTTAATTGAACATTTACTTTTTTATTTATGGGTGACAAAAAGCTACTGCTTTTCAGTTATGTTTGTTGTTGTTGTTTTGAGAGATGTTATGAAATGGTAAATTTGCAGAAATTCTTGTCACATAATACAATGTATGAAAATAGAAAAATCTACATGGCAAAGGGTCAAAGGTAACCCTTGTACTATTGAGACAGAACCATGCTAAATTGGCCCAACACAGCAAATTAGGAAGACTAAACACTGGGAAAGCTCAAATATTATTGATTAGAAGGATTTGTTTCTAATTTAGAGAGTGACGACAACTAAAATTGACTTCATTATAGGCAGGCATTTACAGATTAATTTCGTGACTAACAAGAAGAGTGGAAGATGTGTTGGAATCCTCTTGCTAATACAACAATTCTCTAATTTGTCTTTGTAGATTAATGAGTCAGGTTGGTAAAAGCATGGTAAAATGGGCCCATACTATGTTTAAGTTAATTGGAAGTGCTTATTGAGGAAGAGAAAATCAGTTGTATTTGTGTTGTTCCTCTTATCCACTCCTCTTCTTCCTCTTTCCTTATTCACTCATCAAACATTATGGACTAAATGCTTTGCGCTTGAGACATACAGACAACAAAGGCACATTCCTGTCTCAGGATCTCAATCAAGAGAGGAGGAATGGCAAATGAAATTACAACTACAGTTTGTGCTAATGAGTGCTTCAATAGATGTCTGAGCAGAGGAAGAATACATGACTTAGACTTGGGAGAGTCAGGGAAAGCTTCAGGGAGGAAATACATTAAACAAGTAGAGAATAGGGAGGTGATGTGGGAAGAATGGAAGAGGGCAGGCAATTCTAGAGGGAGCAGCAGATATCATAGCATGGAGACATGAAAAGAGAGGTGGCCTCTTGTCTCTGATTTTGTGACATTAACTCTTCTTCTTTTTTTTTTTTTTCCTGAGACAGAGTCCTGCTCCATTGCCCAGACTGGAGTGCAGTGGCCCAGTCTCGGCTCACAGCTACCTCTGCCTCCCGGGTTCAAGGGATTCTCATGCCTCAGCCTCCCAAGTAACTGGGACTACAGGAGTGTGCCACCACGCCCAGCTAATTTTTGTATTTTTAGTAGATAAGAGGTTTCACTATGTTGGCCAGGCTGGTCTGAAACACTTGGTTTCAGGTGATCTGCCAGCCCCAGCCTCCCAAAGTGCTGGGATTACAGGTGTCAGCCACCATGCCCAGCGGCATTTACTCTTTTATTTATAAACTACACCACTCACAAATCTAGAAAATTATCTACAGAGAGCCTTTATACTCCCTAAATTAAATTGTCATAAGTTGTAAATTAACACAGGCTTAATTTCCAAAAGAAAAAAAAGAAGTTTTTCACATCTACTCAAAATGGGATGATGATCAAAGTCATCAGTACACCCTTAATATTGTCTCACTCATGACCTCTTATCTTGGAATATGTTCAACTTATTTTAAGAGATGCTTTTTTTTTTCCTTTGGGGCAGGAGACCAAGGCTGAAATAATTACTAGAGAGAATAAGAAAAGGTTATTTGCCAAGGAAGAACAAAAGGAAGAGCAAAAGTGGAATGCTTTGTCATTTTCTATTGAAGAGCAAATGAAAGAGAATTTATACTCTGGAATAAAGAACCTGGAAGACTTTTTGAAATCCTGTAAAAGTAGCTCTGTGAAACTTCGGGTTGAAATGGTGGGATTAACTGCTTGCTTGAAAGCCTGGAAAGAACATTGCCGAAGTGAAGAAGGTATGTGATTCTGTTTTCTTATTTCGGTGAGTTGGAGAATTAATACAAATGTAATAATGATAGTTGCCATTTATTAACTGGAAATTTGCATTAGAAGACTTACATGCACTATCTTATTTTATGTATTATTACCTTTAATATGTTCTGAGACCCACAATGGTTGCCTGAAACTGTGGATAGTACCAAATGCCATGTATACTATTTTGTCCTATGCATACATATGTATGATAAACTTTAATTTCTAAATTAGGTACAGTAAGAGATTAACAACAATAATAAGATAGAATAATTACAACAATATACTATAATAAAAGTTATGTAAATATGGTCTCTCTTCCTCAAAATACCTTATTGTACTATACTCACCCCTTTTCTTCTTGTGAGAATGTGAGATGGTAAAATGGCTACATGATGAGGTGAAGTGAGGTGATTGATGAACACTATTGTTGACCTTCTGATGATGCAACAGAAGGAGGATCGTCTGCTTCAGGCAATCCTTGTGTCATTAAGCCACAAGGGAGTGAATGACTGATGTTAGGAGCAGATGATATTGATGATTGGGGTCCTCCATGGTTGAAAGAGTTTTGCTGAAGTCTTTTAGAAGAATAACATTAGCAGTAACTGTTGTCACTTTTTTTTTTTTTTTTTTTTTTTTTTTGTCTCGCAGTGATGATCCTATTGTTACTTCACTGGTTAAACAAAAGGAATTTGATGAACTTGTGCACTGGCATTCTCATAAACCCCTGAGTGATGATTATGACAGGTCCAAGTGTCAGTTTGATGGTGAGCTCTGTGACTCTAGTGAAATAAATTTAAATCTACTTTACTCTCTGCCTTTTGTTTTATAGTGGAAAATTATCATATCATGAGACACAAATTAAGTTTTTTTGAATAAAAATAGTCTACAAGATATTTAGATGTGCATTGGGAAAGATGGTAATGAAAAATTCTCTTTTTCTTCATTGACAGTCATATGCATATAGATATGTATGTGTTTTAGGAGGAAGTGCTAGAAGTTGTTTTAAGGAAAGATGGTTTGTAGTTTAAGCAATGTATGTATTCCTTGGAGTCAAATATATTGAGACCATAGTATTTCAAGCAATTTTAACTGTTTCATACCACCCGATTGGCTGCATGTAATAAGCACCAACATTCTATCTGCCTTCATGCTCAGGGTGGTTGAAACTACAAAAGGAGGCCCATGAAACCGCTAACAGTGGATCAACAGAGACTGAATTTAGGATCTTGTCTTCATCTCAACTTTCTGTATCCCTGTGCTTACCCCCAGCCCCCTTAGAGTTGACAAAACTTACTCTGAGAATAACCTAGGAGTAGGCATATCAAGTATGCTCATATGAAGTACTTATTAGCCTGGGTATGTAAAAAATGACCAAGGTGTTGGGGGGATGCTTTAGACAAACCATTAACATGCTTCAGAGTGGTTTGGTTTGATGTATATATTTACAGACATAGAAAAATTAGCTTAGTTATTTCATTTCTGTGAGTATTATGGAGGTAAGAGAGTAAGGCATACCTTGATTATTGGGACTTCTTACGTTATGAGATTTTACCATTTTAGCTGCCATGCTCTGGGCTCTGGCTCTGTGGCTATGGTCTGGAGTAAGGATTTTATCTATCCAGTGATGCAAGAAGCCAGAATATCTTAGATAGTTGTCTTCTTGCCTCTGCCTCTACCTTCTTCTTAAACTAATTCACAGGGCAGAGGACATACGTAATGCCTGGAATCTGTCATTTTTTTTGTTGCACCCTGATACCTGATTTAGGAGGTAGACCATGAAAGTGTGTTTTGTCACTTCCACCCTTTGAATAAGAGAAGGAATTATTATCCATAGATAACTTGATTTTACATTCTCTCTTTAAGAAAGATAATAAGATTAAATTACTTTTCCACTAATTTAACTAATGGATGTGGGATAATATGAAGAATTGATGAGAATGCTATTGAAAAACTATAATAAAGTTACATTTTAAGTCTTTTCTTTTTCAGAAAAATCTAGAGACCCTCGTGTTCTTAGATCTGTGCAAAAGTATCATGTTTTCCAACGGTTTTATGGGAATTCATTAGAAACAGTCTCTTCGAAAATCATCGTGACTCAAACTATTAAGTCAAAGAAGGATTTTAGTGGGCCCAAGAGCAAAAAGGCACACGTAAGTTCTATACATTCTATCAAATTAAAAAAAAAA